GTGCTGCTCAACACCCCTGGGGTGACACAGAAATGTCCCCATGTCCTCGGGGACAATGTCCTCATGTCCCCAGTGCTGCTCAGCACCCCTGAGGTGACACAAAGGTGTCCCCATGTCCTTGGGGACAATGTCCTCATGTCCCCAGTGCTGCTCAGCACCCCTGAGGTGACACAAAGGTGTCCCCATGTCCTTGGGGACAATGTTCTCATGTCCCCAGTGCTGCTCAGCACCCCTGAGGTGACACGAAAGTGTCCCTGTGTCCTCGGGGACAATGTCTCTGTGTCCCCAGTGCTGCTCAGCACCCCTGAGGTGACACAAAGGTGTCTCCATGTCCTTGGGGACAATGTCCTCGTGTCCCCAGTGCTGCTCAGCACCCCTGAGGTGACACACTCTTGTCCCCTGGGGACGTGTCCTGGTCCCTGATCCCACCCAGCCCCTCCCCTCCCTCCACGTCCCCACGGTGGCCCTGCCATCAGTCACCCCCTGCACTTGTCCCCATCCCCCGGGGACCCCGTGGGGACCTCGGGGACCGCGTGGGGACCCCCCCCGTCCCTCCCCAGGTGCTGGGGGCCATCCTGGGCCTCGGCCTCACCGTCGTCGTCGTCGTCACGGCCGTCGTGGCTCTGCTGCACCGACTGCGCCTTAAGGGTGAGTGACACGGCCCCGGTGGCCTCGGGGACAGCGGGGTGACAGTGCCACACCCCCTCAGCCCGTGTCCCCCGTGTGTCCCCAGAGGTGCCCGCCCAGGAGACCCCCCGGTACCGCTTCCGCAAGAGGGACAAGATGCTCTTCTACGGCCGCAAGATCATGCGCAAGGTGACACTCTGGGGGGGGGTTGGTGGCACCCGGAGGTGGCATCACGAGGCCACCGGCGGGTGACACCCCAGGGTGTTGTCCCCACCCCCCCCAGGTGTCCCAGTCCACGTCGTCCCTGGTGGACACCACCATCTCCAGCACCTCCCGGCCCCGCATGAAGAAGAAGCTGAAGATGCTCAACATCGCCAAAAAGTGAGGAGGGGGCACCGTCGGTTTGGGGGGGAGGGGGGGAAGTGGCACCGTCCCGGTGCCACCTGGGTGTCCCGACACGGTGTCCCCCGGGTGTCCCCAAGGCTGCTGCGCATCCGGAAGGAGCAGCCGACGCTGCAGCTGAAGGAGCCGCCGCCGGCGGTGCTGGAGGCCGACCTGACCGAGTTCGACGTGGCCAATTCCCACCTGCCCTCTGAGGTCCTCTACATGCTCAAGAACGTCCGGTGAGCAGTGGGGATGGCCCTGGCAGTGGGATCTGGCCCTGGGATGGGAATCCAGCCCTGGCAGTGGGATCTGGCCCTGGGATGGGAATCCAGCCCTGGCAGTGGGATCCGGCCCTGGGATTGGGGTCTGGCCCTGGGATCGGAATCTGGCCCTGGGATCAGGGTCTGGCCCTGGGATCGGGGTCTGACCCTGGGATCGGGGTCTGTCGCTGGCATTGGGATCCAACCCTGGCATTGGGATCCAGCCCTGGCATTGGGATCCAACCCTGGCATCGGGTCCAGCCCTGGGATCGGGGTCTGTCCCTGGCATTGGAGTCTGTCCCTGGGATCAACATCCAGTCCTGGCATCGGGGTGTGTCCCTGGGATCAGCGTCCGTCATGGGGGAGTTTGGGGTCAGGGGCCTGGGGATCAGGCTCAGGCTCAGTGGGGTCAGGATCCGTCTTTGGGGCTCAGGATCCATCCCTGGGGCTCAGGATCCATCCGAGGGACCAGAGTTTCCCCTGAGGGATCAGGATCCATCCCTGGAGGTCAGGATCTCTCTTGGGGGGCTCAGGATCCATCCCTGGGGCTCAGGATCCATCTGAGGGACCAGAATTCCACCTGAGGCATCAGGATCCCTCCCTGGAGGTCAGGATCTATCCTGGGGGGGTCAAATCCATCCCTGGGGCTGAGGATCCATCTGAGGGACCAGAATTCCCCCCGAGAGATCAGGATCCATCCCTGGGGCTCAGGATCCATCTGAGGGATCAGGATCCCTCCCTGGAGGTCAGGATCTATCCTGGGGGGCTCAGGCTCCATCCCTGGGGCTCAGGCTCCATCCGAGGGACCAGAATTCCCCCTGAGGGACCGGCATCCCCCCTGGACACCATTTCCCAGCGGAGTCTGGACCCCGGCACCACCGACCGCTCTTCTCCTGCATCCCCATCTCCATGGCAACCAGGAGAGGTGGCAGCAGGCTCGGGTGTCACCCGCTGTCCCCCGGCTGTGCCCGCAGGGTGCTGGGGCACTTTGAGAAGCCGCTGTTCCTGGAGCTGTGCAAGCACATGGTGTTCCAGCAGTGCCAGCAGGGCGAGTACGTGTTCCGGCCCGGCCAGCCCGACACCAGCATCTACGTCCTGCAGGACGGCAAACTGGAGCTGCTGCTCACCGAGCCGGTGAGGGCACCTGGGGACACCTGGGGACAGCCAAGGGGACACCTGGGGTCAGCCAGGGGATAACCAGGGGGCACCTGGGGATGGCTGGGGACAGCCAGGAGACAACCAGGGCACAGGCAGGGGACACCTGAGGATGGCTGGAGACACCCAGGAGACAACCAGGGGACAGCTGGGGACAGCCGGGAACAGCCAAGGGGCACCTGGAGATGGCTGGAGACAGCCAGGGGACACCTGGGGACAACCAGGGGACACCTGGGGACAGCCAGGGACAGCCAGGGGACAACCAGGGCACAGGCAGGGGACACCTGGGGACAACCAGGGGACACCTGGGGATGGCTGGAGACACCCAGGGGACACCTGGGAACAACCAGGGGACAGCCAGGAACAGCCAGGGGACAGCCAGGAACATCCAGGGGACAGCCAGGGACAGCCAAGGGGGCACCTGGGGATGGCTGGAGACAGCCAGGGGACACCTGGGGACAACTGGGGACAGCCAGGGGACAGCCAAGAGACACCTGAACACACTTGGGAATATCCAGGGACACCCAGAGGACACCCAGGGACACCCAAGGGACATCTGGGGACACACATGGACACCCAGGGGATACCTGGGCACATCCAGTGACACTTGGAGGACACCCAGGGGACACTCTGGGGACAGGAATGGGACAGGGGCAGCAGGGATGGAAGGAATGAAGGGCTCTGTGCTCGGCAGGACGGGAAGGAGACGGTGATGAAGGAGGTGTTCCCTGGGGACAGTGTCCACAGCCTGCTCAGCATCCTTGATGTCATCACGGTACCGGCGCTGTCCCCAAACCCCCCCCATCCAACCGTGACCATCTCCAAACCCAACCATGACTGTCCCCAAACCCAGCCATGGCCATCCCCAAAACCAACCATGGCCATCCCCAAACCCAACCATGGCCATCCTCAAACTCCTCCAGTCCAACCACGGCCATCCCCAAACCCAACCATGATCATCCCCAAACCCAACCATGACCACTTCCAAACCCAACCATGGCCATCCCCAAACCAACCTTGACCATCCCCAAACTCCTCCAGTCCAACCACGACCATCCCCAAAACCAACCATGGCAATCCCCAAACTCATTTGTGACCATCTCCAACCCCAACCATGACCATCCCCAAACTCCTCCAGTCCAACCATGACCATCCCCAAACTCAACCATGGCCATCCCCAAACCCAACCATGGCCATCCCCAAACTCCTCCAGTCCAACCATGGCCATCCCCAAACTCAACCATGACCATCCCCAAACTCAACCATGACCATCCCCAAACCCAACCTTGACCATCCCCAAACTCCTCCAGTCCAACCATGACCATCCCCAACCCCAACCAGCCCAACCCCCAGTGCCACCCTTGGACTTCCCCACCTCCCAGCTCCCCCAAAACCCCACCCAGGGCCGGGCTGGAGCTCCCAGTCCCGACCAGGCCCCCCCAGCAGCCGTGTCCCGCAGGGCCACCAGCGGCCGTACCGCACGGTGTGCGCCCGCGCCGCCGAGGACTCCACCATCTTGCGCCTGCCGGTCGAGGCCTTCTCCGCCATCTTCGAGAAGTACCCCGAGAGCTTGGTGCGGGTGGTGCAGGTGAGGTGGGCGCTGGGAGGCCCACGGAGGGTCCCTTGGGGTGGCAGGGGGTCACCGGTGGCCTCCTGTCCCCCTTCAGATCATCATGGTGCGACTGCAGCGCGTCACCTTCCTGGCCCTGCACAACTACCTGGGCTTGACCAACGAACTCTTCAGCCACGTGAGTCCTGCGGGGGGGAAGGGGGAGATCGGGGCAAAATTGATGGAAAAAGTCCAGAAAAGATTGTCCTGCTTCTTGAACTCCTCTCCAGGGTTTGACCATCCCCAAACCAACCGTGGCTATCCCCAAACCAAACCATGGCTATCCCCAAACTCAACCATGGCCATCTCCAAACCCAACCATGGTCATCCCAACCCAACCATGGTCATCCACAACCCAACTATGGCCATCTCCAAACCCAACCATGACCATCCTGAAACCAACCATGGTCATCCCAATCCAACCATGGTCATCCCCAACCCAACCATGGCCATCTCCAAACCAACCGTGACCATCCCCATCGCTACCATTAAGTAGGGGACAAAACAGTTGGAGAAAAAAAGAAATAATTAATACGTAGGGGAAAAAATAGTTGGAGGAAAAAAATAATTATTAAGTTGGGAATAAAATAATTAAAGTAATTTAAAAAAGAGATAATTATTAGGTAGAGTTTAAGCATCATCCCTCTCCCCTCTCCAACTGCAGGACATGCAGCCCCTGAGGCTCTTCCCCCAGCCCGGCCACCCCGCCCGCACCAGCCCCGTCCGGCACAGCAAGAGGGGCCTGGGCAGCGCCGATGAGGGCCGGGAGCAGGGTAAGGCTGCCCAGGGGGTACTGGGACCCTCCACCCGCTTTTGGGGGGGCTCTGCTGCTCCCTCTGGGCTCACGGGGTGGGGGTCTGATCTTGCAGCCGAGCTGCTGAAAAGTGCGGGGTTGGAGACCCCGGTGCCGCCGCCGCCGCCCCTGAGCCGCTGCATCTCCATGCCCGTGGACATTTCTGGTGGGTTTGGGGGGGGGAATGGGGGGTCTTGGGGTGGGGAGCTCAGGGATAGCTGGGGACACTCAGGGGACACCCAAGGGACAGTCAGGGACACCCAGGGACACTCAGGGGATACCCAGTGGCAACCAGGGCAGCCGCCTCTGAGCCGCTGCATCTCCATGCCCATGGATATCTCTGGTGGACTTGGGGGTGGGAATAGGGGGTCTTGGGGTGGGGAGCTCAGGGGATAACTGGGGACACTCAGAGGACACCCAAGGACACTCAGGGGACACCCAAGGGACAGTCAGGGACACCCAGGGCAGCCGCCCCTGAGCTGCTGCATCTCCATGCCCGTGGATATCTCTGGTGGGTTTGGGGGTGGGAATGGGGGGTCTTGGGGTGGGGAGCTCAGGGATAGCTGGGGACACTCAGGGAACACCCAGGGGACAGTCAGGGACACCCAGGGACACTCAGGGGATACCCAGGGGCAACCAGGGCAGCCGCCCCTGAGCTGCTGCATCTCCATGCCCGTGGATATCTCTGGTGGGTTTGGGGGGAGGAATGGGGGGTCTTGGGGACAACCGGGGGACACTGGGAAGTGTCTTGTCTCCGTGTTGGACACGGTGACCCTGTCACCCCTCCAGGCATCCAGAAGGGTCCCCGCTCCGACTTCGACATGGCCTACGAGCGGGGCCGCATCTCGGTGTCGCTGCAGGAGGACAGCACGGGGGCCATGGCTGGATTCACACGGGTACGGCGGCAGGAACCCTGAATCCCACCTGAATCCCACCCCAAATCCCACCTGAATCCCACCCAAATCCTACCCCAAACTCCCACTGAATCCCACCCCAAATCTCACCTGAATCCCACTCTGAATCCCACCCCAAATCCCACCTGAATCTCACCCCAATCCTACCCCAAACTCCCACTGAATCCCACCCCAAATCCCACCTGAATCCCACCCCAAATCCTATCTCAAACCACCTGGAATCCCACCCCAAAGCCCCACTGAATCCCATCCCGACTCCCACCTGAATCCCACCCCAAACCCCCTCAGAATCTCACCCCAAATCCCACCCCAAACCCCCTCAGAATCCCACCCCAAATCCCACTCAGTCCCTACCCCAAATCTCACCGAATCCCACCTGAGTCCCCCCCAAATACCCCCAAATCCCCCCAAAACACTCCCTGACCCCGCCGTGTCCCGCAGTCGGTGTCCCACGAGCCCAAGGAGCGCAAGTCGGTGACGCTGGAGGAGCCCCCACCGGGGTCCCACCAGTCCAACTCCAGCGAGGACGAGGCGGGGCCGGGGCCGTGTCCCTTCGGGCCCTTCCAGGGCCGCCAGACCAACCTCGTCTTTGAGGCCGCCAAGCAGGAGCTGGTCAAGCTCATGAAGGTGGAGGTGAGGCCTTGGGGGGCCCCCAAGGTTCCCGTCCCCTCGCGTGGGTCCCCTGAGGCGTCGCGGGGGTCACGTCATGTTGGGGCTTCCCGTCGCTTCACGCCGGCCCTCCGTGCGTTGGGGTGGTCCTCTTGTGTTGTGGTGGGTCTCTGTTGACCTCGTGGTGGGTCCCCACTGCCTCGTGGTGGTCCCTGTCCCCGTCATGTTGGTCCCCTGTTGTTTTGGGGTGGGTCTCTGTTGGCCTCGTGGTGGGTCCCTGTCACCTCATGGTGGGTCGCCGTCTCTTTGTGGTGATCTCAGGGTGATCCCCCATCTCTTTGGGACGGTCCCCCATCTCCCTGTGGTGTTCCCCCATCTCCCTGTGGTGTTCCCCATCTCCCCATGGTGTTCCCCCATCTCCCCGTGGTGGTCCCCCATCTCCCTGTGGTGGTCCCCCATCTCCCTGTGGTGGTCCCCCATCTCCCTGTGGTGGTCTCCATGGCTTTGTGGTGGTCCCCATTACCTTGGAGTGGTCCCCTTTCCCCTCGGGCTGGCCTGCCATGGCTTTGTGGTGGGTTCCTGTCTCCTCGTGGGGGTCTCTGTGGCCTCCAAGTGGTCCCTCATCTCTCTGGGATGGTCCCGCTTCACTTTGTGGTGGTCCCCGTTGCCTCAGAGTGGTCTCCAGTCTCCTTGGGGTGGTCCCTTATGACTTTGTAGTGGGTTCCTGTCTCGTCATGGTGGTCTCTGTGACCTCCTGGTCATCCTTGTTCTCCCATGGTGCTCTTGTGACCTCCTGGTCATCCTTGTCCCCTCACAGTGGTCCCCGTGACCTCCTGGTCATCCTTCTCCCCTCATGGTGGTCCCCATTGTTTGTGGTGGCCCCTGTGACCTCCTGGCCATCCTTCTCCCCTCATGGTGGTCCTTGTCACCTCCTGGTCATCCTTGTCCCCTCATGGTGGTCCCCATCCCCTCCTGATGGCCCCCAGCACCCCACACGACACCGTTCCTCCCTCCAGGACCCCTCTCTCCTCAACAACCGTGTCCTGCTCCACCACGCCAAAGCCGGGACCGTCATTGCCCGCCAAGGTGACCAGGTGGGTTTTGGGGGGGTTTCTGTGGCCCCTTGACTCCCCCTCCCCATATTTCCATGGGATGCCACTCCCCTACTCCTCCCCCGTGGCTGTTGGGGGGCGGGAACGACCCCAGAACCTCTGGAGAGTTCAAAACCCCCCGTGAGAAGAACCACAACCACCCACACGTGGGGCTGGGGGGACCCTTGTACCTGGGGGTCCCTGGGTGGTTCCCGGGGTCCCAGGTGGCTTCCAGGGTTTCCAGATGGCTCCGTGGGGTCCCGGGTGGCTCCCAGGGATCCCGGGTGGCTCCCGGGTGGCTCTGTGGGGTCCCAGGTGGCTCCCAGGGATCCCGGGTGACTCCCATGGTCCTGGATGGCTCCCAGGGATCCCGGGTGACTCTCAGTGATCCCAGGTGACTCCCAGGGGTTCCAAGTGACTCCCAGGGATCCCGGGTGACTCTCAGTGAACCCGTGTGAGTCCCAGTGATCCCGGGTGACTCCCAGTAATCCCAAGTGACTCCCAGTAATCCTGGGTGACTCTCAGTGATCCCAAGTGACTCCCAGGGGTTCCAAGTGACTCCCAGGGATCCCGGGTGACTCTCAGTGAACCCGTGTGAGTCCCAGTGATCCCGAGTGACTCCCAGTAATCCCAGGTGACTCCCGGGTGGCTCTGTGGGATCCCGGGTGACCCCCAGTGATCCTGGGTAGCCCCGACATACCCCGACCGTGCTGCGGTGGTGACGGGGCATGCTCTGGGCAGGACGTGAGCCTGCACTTCGTGCTCTGGGGGTGCCTGCACGTGTACCAGCGCATGATCGACAAGGCAGAGGACGTGTGCCTGTTCCTGACGCAGCCCGGCGAGCTGGTGGGGCAGCTGGCCGTGCTCACCGGGGAGCCCCTCATCTTCACCATCAAGGCCAACCGCGACTGCACCTTCCTCAAGATCTCCAAGTCCGACTTCTACGAGTGAGAAAGGGACCATGGGCAAGGGGGACAATGCCCAAGGGGGACAGTGGGGGCCTGGGGGGTGGCACCGGTGGGGTGGTTGTCCGGCTCTGCCTGGTGTTGGTGTGGCCTTGCCTCAAGTGCTGGGGGTAGTTTGGGGGGTCACAACAAGGAGTGGAGGAGTCCCCGGAGCTCCAGGTGGCTCTGAGGGTCCTGGGTGGCTCCTGAGTGACCCTGAGGGGTCCCGGGTGGTTCCAAGGGTCCCAAGTGAATCCAAGGGGTCCCAGGTGGCTCCAAGTGGTCCTGGGTGGCTCTGAGAAGTCCTGGGTGGCTCCGAGGGGCTACTGTGGTGGCACCTTCAGGACCAGTGTGGTGGCACCTTCAGGGCTGCTGTGGTGGCACTTTGTCAGCTACTGTGGTGGCACCTTCAGGGCTACCGTGGTGGCACTTTGGGGGCCACTGTGGTGGCATCTTTGGGGTTACTGTGGTGGCACCTTCAGGGTTGCTGTGGTGGCACCTTCAGGGCTGCTGTGGTGGCACTTGGGGGCCACTGTGGTGGCATCTTTGGGGCCACTGTGGTGGCATATTCAGGGCTGCTGTAGTGGCATCTTTGGAGCCGCTGTGGTGGCACCTTCGGGACCACCTCAGTGTCATTTCTGAGGTCACCTCAGTGTCATTTCTGGGACCACCTCAGTGGTACCTTTGGGGCCACCTCAGCGTCATTTCCGGGGCCACCCCCCTGTCCCCCCTTGCGCTGTCACCCCCAGGATCATGCGGGAGCAGCCCAGCGTGGTGCTGAGCGTGGCGCACACCGTGGCCGCCCGCATGTCGCCCTTCGTGCGCCAGATGGACTTCGCCATCGACTGGATGGCCGTGGAGGCCGGGCGGGCGCTCTACAGGTGGGTTTTTGGTTGCACCATTTGTTGTTTATTCAGATTTCGTTAATAAAAGGCTGTTTCTTTTCCACGTTTCCACCTGAAGTCTCTTAATTTTTAAGTCGTGATCCTGTTAAACTCAGACGTTTAACTGGCGCCCAAATCGTTGGGGCTTGACTGGAGGAAAGATGGAAAAGGAATAAACCCTCTTGTTCAATCACCTGGATTGGTCAGGGGAGTCACATGTTGCTTTGAGGTGCATCTATAAAGTGTTGTCTTATTGGAATAAAGAGGATTTGGCTCTGAACCCCCAACCAACCAACCGGGTCCGTATAATTTATTTACATATTAATACGCCGTAAATGGCGCCCAACATGAGGCACCATTTGTGGCTTATTAATATAATAAGTAAATAAATCATATGAACCCCCAAACTAGCTGGGTCTGTATGATTTATTTACTTATTAGATTAATAAGCCACATATACACATGGTTGCGTTGCTACCACAACCCAGCTTCCTGTTTTTTTGGGAGGATTTTACTGATAACGGCACCTATTTTGGGGGAAAATAAAAAAAGAAAATTCCGACATTTTTCAAACTTCTCACACCCCCACAGGCAGGGGGACAAGTCCGACTGCACCTACATCGTCCTCAACGGGCGGCTGCGCTCCGTCATCCAGAAGGGCAGTGGCAAGAAGGAGCTGGTGGGGGAGTACGGCCGCGGGGACCTCGTGGGCGTGGTGAGCTCTGGGCTGGGGACACGACGTGGGGACAACCTCGGGCCTCCACTTGACACTTTGAGATTCAGAGCTGTGGTGGTTTGGAGCTGTGTGGTAGTTTTAGTCTAGGCCTTCCTCGGTGACCAGTTTGTAACCGAGGAAGTGGCCACGTTCCCGGTATTCCCTACGATTTTTACGTAAACCAGGGTATAAAGAAGAAGGGAGGAGAGGCCTTTGCTCTCCTCCCTTCCGGTGCTTCTGAAGGCGCAGGTTCCCTGCTGTCGGTTCTCATTGTGTGGGGGAGTGAGGCCTAGTGAGGCCTAGTGCGGCTAGTGAGGCCTAGTGCAGCCTAACGAGGCCTAGTGTGGCCTAGCGAGGCCTAGCGAGGCCTAGCGCGGCCTAGTGTGACCTAGTGAGGTCTAGTGTGTCCTAGCGAGGCCTAGTGAGGCCTAGCACGGCCTAGTGCGGTCTAGTGAGGCCTAGTGCGGTCTAGTGAGGCCTAGTAAGGCCTTGTGAGGCCTTGTAGATCCTGGGAGGCGAAGGGTGCCAGCGGTCGTTCAGCACGATTTCTGCTGTCCCAAGGAGAGTAGTAAGATATTCTTTTGCTAATTCTTTATTTTGCTAGTTTCCGAGTTGTCCATTGTGCATATCTGTTTTGGGTTTTTGTCCCTTTTTGCCCCTTTTTCCCTTTTCCCTTCCCCCTTTCTGGGAGCTGTTTGGGGTTTCTGTGGTTATGTGTACATAGTGTTTTAATTGTATATATCCGTAATATATGTAATATATATGTACATATATTGATATAGCTTTTGCTATTCTGGCTTTTTTTTCCTTTGGAGGGTTTTCTCGCTGTGGTCTGTTGGGGTTTGGCTCCCTGCCAAGTGCCCAACACCACAACAAAAACTCCCTCCAAACCAAGGGGAAAGGAATTGAAAGGGAAAAGCTGCCAAAAACCAAAATGACACACCCAAACCAGTATATATATATATATATATATATATATATTTACATATATTTCATTTATATACAGTGACAATATAAAAGAGAATACAATATAAAAATACAATATAAAAATACAATATAAAATACAATCTAAAATGCAATATAAAAAGAGAACCCCAAATGCCCCCAAAAAGAAAAGAAAGAAAGAAAATAAAAAAAACCAAAACAGATATACACAGTCATTAAAGAACTAGCAAATGAAATCTCAATACTTTCCTTGAGGAAAGCAAAAAAAACCACCCAGCCCACGATCACTGCAGGTGATATAATAGAAATAACACTCGTAGCAGAAATAAATATAAATATTTATAAATGTAGATGGAAATAGAAATATTTTATATTTTAATAGGGTTTTAATGAGTATAAAGATTTAACAAGAATGGCTGGTTTGGATGGAATGTACCAAAAAAACCCCATAAAAGCAGATAAATATTTTAGTCAAAACTGTTCAGAAAACCCAGTTTATCAAGAGGTTCTGGTTTGTAGAGAATGTACCAGTTGGTGGCTCATTGGCCTTTCCTCATGGGTTTTGGGATTATTGTTTAATAGAAATGAAATAAATAGTAAATATAAATAACGTTCCTAACGTAAATAAATATAAATATTTATAGATGTAAATAGAAATAGAAGTGTTTTATGTTTTAATAGGATTTTAATGGGTATAAAGATTTAGTGAGAACATCTGATTTGGGTGGAATATACCAAAAAAACCCCATGAAAGCAGATAAATATTTTAGTCAAAATGATTCAGAAACCCCAGAAACTTTGATTTACGAGGAACAAACACCCCTTCATCCCTGGCCTCCTCTTCCTCATCATCTCTGCTCTCCTTGGAAGGGCTTCAAGGCCCCAGGGGGTGTTTTTTCCACCTTGTTAAAAGGGGAATCCTCGGCGAGGAACGTTGGGGAATCTCGCGCTCGGTAAACGGGAAGAGCTTCCCGTGTTTTATGGACTGTTGGAAACGGGGTTTTCTCGGCTGTGGAGTCGGAGGGGTCATTCCTGGGGTCATTCCCGGGGGGTTCTGCGTCTTCTCCTGCAGGTGGAGGCCCTGACCAGGCAGCCCCGGGCCACCACGGTGCACGCGGTGAGGGACACGGAGCTGGCCAAGCTCCCCGAGGGCACCCTGAACAACATCAAGCGCAGATACCCCCCGGTTCCCCCCCAGGCCCCCCCCGGGCCCCCCCCCAGACCCCCAGGTATCCCCGGGTACCCCCAAGACCCTTCAGGTACCCCCCAGACCCCCCAGGTACCCCAGGTACACTCCTGACCTCCCAGGTACCCCCAGGTACCCCCAGGTACCCCCCTAGACCCCCCAGATACCCCCAGGTACCCCCCAGACCCTCCAGGTACCTCCCAGACCCCCCAGACTCCCCAGGTACCTCCAGGTACACCTCCAGGTACCCCTCAGGTACCCCCAGATACCCCCCAGACCCTCCAGGTACTTGAGGTCCCCAAGGATTTGGGGTGGTGACACCTGAGGTCCCCAAGGATTTGGGGTGGTAGCATCTGAAGTCACCAAGGATGGGGTGGTGACACCTGAGGTCCCCAAGGATGGGGTGGTGGCACCTGAGGTTCCAAGGATTTGGAGTGGTGGCACCTGGAGTTGCCAAGGATGGGGTGGTGGCACCTGAGATGCCCAAGGATTTGGGGTGGTGGCACTTGAGGTGCCCAAGGGTGGGGCAGTTGCACCTGAGGTTCTAAGGATTTGGGATGGTGGCACCTGAAGTCCCCAAGGCTTTGGGGTGGTGGCACCTGAGGTCCCCAAGGACAGGGAGGCTGGTGGTGGCACCCAAAAAGTCACGTGGGACACTAGTCCAGGGTGTCAGTGAGCCCCTCCCAGGTCTGACGACCCTCCCTGTCCCC